CAGTGAAATCACCGTTACAATAACATTGCCATAATGGTGTACTTAGCAATTTTAGCTTCACTTTGTACAAGTTGGCTGATAAAATTAATAACATGACTTTCACTCATGCTACTGAATGGACACTGCATGATATTTATAACAAGAGATTACACATTACAATCACATTCATCCTCGGAAAACAGTGAAATGAATGCATACCACATAACATTTAATTTGATCCTATATACAATTGTTTGATCAGCAATCTGGAAGCATACAACTTTGTTTTTTGCACAGAGCAATGCATCAGTGTAGATTCTTTTGACAGTAAGAATCTACAATAACGCTCTATGTAATAAACAAAGTTTTTATCCAAGAAGTCGTATGCTTCATTAATACAATGTACAATTGAATATTCAAATTATTACAATTTAACATTTGTTATGTTATGTTTCAAGAGTACCTTTTGGAGCAATGTCACTAATCTAAGCGTTACCTTTGATCACTTTCTCAAAGGCAGTGTGTAATTAGTTTTGGACATAGGAGCCGTGGCAATTAGCCTTGTCAGAGGGTATACAGAACATATAATCTATACTACCGATTGGCAGAGAAGGTGAGGGTTGGCCAGAACCTCAAACCCCAAGTCAAAGATTCTGTACTCTATCGCATTATGGTTACATTTAGAAATGCTGTGTACAGATTGATGCCAGTCATTTTCAAAGCAAATTGGATTCTAATATAAACAAGTCTATGTGTATTTTTACAACCTTGTATCCATAACTATAATTCTGAAATATACCCAGTCATTGTCAAGAATAATATTGTGTAGGTTTAATGTGTGTATATATAGGGTCAATATTTAAGCTCAATATTGCAGTACAATACACCAAATGGTTGAGGTGAGGTGAAATTGATTTAAAGTCTTGCTTGAGAATATTTCGCTCATATGACGACGTGCATGCGTGTGTACGTGTATGTGCGTCTGCTTGTACTAGCCCAGACTTAAGCTGGTTTTATAGTGCTAGCCCACTGAGATACCATGCTACAGTGAAGCATGAATACCCCACTCAGACACATACTGACTCCGAGCCGACCAGTCCTTGTTGTACCCATTAATACCAAGCGCCAGGCAGGGACCAAAAAGTACCATATTTTAACGTCTTTTGGTATGACGCGGTTGGGGATCGAACCCGCGACCTTCCGCTCTCCGGGCGGATGCTCTAACCACTACACCACAGAGGTGGTCCACCAAATGGTTGAGCAAAAAAGTGGTTCATTCGCACTTTTGAACACTGCATGTCGTTCAAATAGTGGAGAAATGCCTAAAATGATACATTTCCTTACAGCTTACAACACAAGCACGGAAACTGGGGTAAACCAGGATTCAAACCCAGTCACAGGTATGATGCAAAACCATTGATGACAGTCACTCAGTCTGACAAACCAATGCTATTGGTCACTGAAGTCCAGATTTTGGTGTGCCTGTGGTGTGTGTGTTTGAAGCGCAGTTTTTATAGAGCTGAAGTACCAAGATCAGGGAAATGCCTCAACCCATGCAGATAATATACTGACTGAGGCGACCACTAATTGAATGTAGCAAGTGAGTTTGGTTTCAGGCTGCTTTTAGCTTCAGCGTGATGAGCGAATGCCTCAACCAGACAATATGCTGCAACAAACGACACCACGGACTGCTGCTGCAACAAACGACACCATGTATTGCCGTGGCAACAAATGACACCATGTACCGCTGCGGCAAAAAATGACACCATGTACTGTAGTGGTGTTCCGATTAATTGAAATAATCGAAGATTGGTCGCAGTGACCAAAAGACCAAGCAATCAATCACATTTTCTCATAATCGAACATAAACGATTTTTGAACTACTTTTTTAGTCTTTGAAATACTTGACAATGGAACATATCTTAGAAGTTGTCAGGGCCTGAAAACATGTTTAATTCTTAGAAAACTCACTTCACTAACTGAAAAGCCATGACTGAATATTTCTTGAAGACTCCAGAAAGTTTATGTTCATGATATAATAAGTCATCATATTGCAATAACAAATAGAAAATCTAGAAAATGGCGCTAACCAAGTTGCATCATGTTATACATATCTGCAATAACAACCTGGATAGGAAAATCTGAAAATGGCGCTAACAAATGACAATTTTTTGGATGATTGTCCATTTGCACTGCGGCAACAAATGACACACCATGCTGCAACAAATGACACCATGTAATGACACCATGTACTAAAACAAATGACACCATGTACTGCCTCGGCAACAAATGACACCATGTACTGCCGCTGCAACAAATGACACCATGTACTGCCGCGGCAACAAATGACACCATGTACTTCTCGCTGCAACAAATGACACCATGTACTGCCGCGGCAACAAATGACACCATGTACTGCTGCTGCCACAAACAAATGACACCATTATGCTGCAATAAATGACACCATGTACTGCGGCGCAACAAATGACACCATGTACTGACACCATGTAATAATGTACTGCCGCAACAAATGCATGTACGACTGCAACAAATGACACCATGTACTACTGCGCTGCAACAAATGACACCTGCAACAAATGACACCATGTACTGCCGCTGCAACAAATGACACCATGTACTGCTGCTGCTGCCACAAATGACACCATGTACTGACACCATGTACTGCTGCTGCATGAAATGACACCGTACCAACAAATGACACCATGTACTGCCGCTGCCATGTACAAATGTACTGCCGCTGCATGAAATGACACCATGTACTGCCTGCGCAAATGACACCTACTGCCTGCGGCAACAAATGACACCATGTACTGCGCTGCAACAAATGACACCATGTACTGCCGCTGCAACAAATGACAAATGACACCATGTTACTGCTTGCGGCGACAAATGACACCATGTACTGCACCTGCAACAAATGACACCATGTACTGTGCAACAAATGCTGCAACAAATGACACCATGTACGAACAAATGACCGTACGGTGACAAATGACACCATGTACTGCTGGCGCTGCAACAAATGACACCATGTACTGCGGCTGCAACAAATGACACCATGTACTGTCATGTACTGCTGCAACAAATGACACCATGTGCTGCAACAAATGACACCATGTACTGCTGCAACAAATGCTGCAACAAATGACACCATGTACTGCAACAAATGACACCGCGACAAATGACACCATGTATGTACTGCCGCTGCAACAAATGACACCATGTACTGCTGCGCTGCAACAAATGACACACATGTACTGCCTGGAAGCTGCAACAAATGACACCATGCTGCCACAAATGACACACGTGTACTGCGCTGCAAACAAATGACACCATGGATGCTGCAACAAATGACACCATGACACCCATGTAGCTGCAACAAATGACACCATGTACGGCTGCAACAAATGACACCACGCAACAAATGACACCATGTACTGCGCTGCAACAAATGACACCATGTACTGCCATGCGCAACAAATGACACCATGTACCTGCTGCGGCTGCAACAAATGACACCATGTACTGCCGCTACTGCCTCGGCAACAAATGCTGCGCCGCTGCAACAAATGACACCATGTACTGCCCGCTGCAACAAATGACACCATGTACTGCTGCTGACAACGCTGCAACAAATGCCGCTAAAACAAATGACACCATGTACTGCCGCTAAAACAAATGACACCATGTACTGCAGCTGCAACAAATGACACCAGGGCCTTCAAAACAAATGACACCAACAAATGACACCATGTACTGCCAGCTGCAACAAATGACACCATGTGCGCAACAAATGCTAAAACAAATGACACCATGTACTGCAACAAATGACACCATGTACTGGCTGCAACAAATGACACCATGTACTGCATGTACTGCAACAAATGACACCATGTACTGCCGCTGCATGACAAATGACACCATGTACTGCCGCTGCAACAAATGACACCATGTACTGCTACTGCAACAAATGACACCATGTAATGCTGCAACAAATGACACCATGTACACACGTAGGCAGGGGGGGAGAGGGATTGTCAGCAATGTTTGTGCATAAAATATTGAGGTGAGGTGAAGTGGGTTTAACGTCGTGTTTTGAGAATATTTGAGGTGAGCTCATATGACGGCGTGCTTGAGCATATTTGGCTCATCGCGTATGTGCGCCTGCGTGTATGTACTAGCTAGCCAGAAGCATGACACATATATACTGACTCGGGCCGACCAGTCCTTGTTGTACCCACTAATGCGAGCGCCAGGCAGGGACCAACAAGTACCATATTTTAAAGTCTTTTCGGCATGGCGTTAGGGATCAAACCAGCGACCTTCCGGCTCTCCCCTGAAATAACCACTACACCTAGGAGGCAGTCCATAAAATTTATGCTTCAAAAATGAGGAGGAGGGGGGAGGAGGAGTCATTGATTTTGTACATGACATGCAGAGGGGTCACTTTGTCCATGTAATTTAGGGGTGGGGGTGTCATTCACATTGTTTTTCCATAAAATCATCACACACGCACACACACACCATAGCCATAGATTATGACTGACTGAGTTTAGTTGTACGCCGCTTTTAGCGATATTCCAGCAATATCACGGCGGGGGACACCAGAAATGGGCTTAACACATTGTGCCCATGTGGGGAATCGAACCCGGGTCTTCGGCGTGACGAGCCAACGCTTTAACCACTAGGCTACCCCACCGCCCCCAATAGATTATGAAAGGTCCATAACTACTGTTAATCAACCTGAATGTTTGAGAATATCAGAACTGATGTGGCCTTACCTAAAGCATTGCCCTTCTCCCAATCCACGCCCATGAGGTCTGTAATAGATTAAACACACATAAAATTGTCTTTGTATGTTAATGATATTTAGTAAATTTCAAATTTTAGTCTACAACCTATGTCAAGTACTCAGGTGACCGCTAAACATGTAAGATATATAAACTCACAATTTTTATCCTTTTAAAAAGTTGACATGGTTTTCTCACTTCAAGGAACTGCTTGGGAACCATAGGTAATGCCTGAAAAAAGAAGAAACAATAAAAATTCTAGAGGGTATGTCACTTGTCTTGTGAGATACATAATCTACTCAATGCAATTTAAAAGCATAATGGATATTACTTTGTGTATTTTAAGTATAGTATGTCATTTATGGACTTACATTTATAAAATAATTGCTACATCATTGTTGTTTTAGATGAATGTATGAAAAAATGTTGCTTACCAAGATAACAGGGGACACCACCACTGCAAATATCTTCTGCTTCGACGCGTTAAATGATCACGTAATGCAGTGGATTTAACAAGTTTTCGCGCGAAAAATGTCAGTTCACATTACCATTATAGAAATGATTGTCACTTTGACTATATTTCATTTCCTAAAAGGCAATGCTTTACACTGCTAAATAACTCCAACAAATTGGATTTAACATCTCTAGTATACCTGATATCCATTGATGCTTACCAAGTGCCTTGCTTTTCTCCCATATGACCTGAAATAAATTGAAAATGAACATGACTCATTGCATTTTTTTATTGCTCCTGTATTAACAGAAAGTTAATTACAATTGTGGTCACCAAGTTATGCTAGTTAGTACTCAGAATATGCTGATTAAATTTTTAACTAATTTCAGTTAATCTACAGACAGCTTTACTTGAAAGAGTATGGTTTTCCGCTGCTTTTAGCAATATTCCAGCAATATCATGGTGGGGGGCACCAGAAAAGCACTTCACACATTAACAATGACAAGCACACATTTTGCTATTAACCACACCCAATTGAAACAGAAGCAATTGAAACTCACATTTGCCATCAATTAAAGGCAGAAACACTTTCTTCCTTCATGGAACTGCTTGCTTAATCCTGTGTGTTAGGTTTTCTAAAGGTAATGGCTGCAATAAGAACAAACATTTATATACTTACACATTCATTTGTGGACATAATAGCAATAGTATAGATATTACCTGATCTTTAGTCGAAGGTTAAAAGTTGTCATGGCATTTATGGACAGCCATTAGAACCAGCTTGATATTATATATTTTTGATGAAACAATTGAAAAAAAACAAATGTGGCTTACCCAGATGACAGTGGCCAACTCCAATTGAAATATCTTCCCACTTGATGCGATTAAATAAAAACATGAAGACGCGATAAAATAAACACGTGAAGACGCGATAAAATAAACACGTGAAGACGCGATTAAATAAACACGTGCAGACGTGATTCCATCGAAAAACTCGCGTGAAGAATCATCGTAGTCAAGTTTAGGCTGTAAGAATAAAAAACCTATCCCTAACCCTAGCCCTAACCTATCCCTAACCTAACCCTAACTGGCTAACAAAATATGAAGAAAAGGTCACGTACCTTCACCTTTCTTCTTCTGTTTGATTTACTAACTAAGTGCTTGCTATATTCTAAGATGTAACCTAAGTGCTTGCTATAATCTAAGATGTAACCTAAGTGCTTGCTATAATCTAAGATGTAACCTAAGTGCTTGCTATAACTTTTAAGGTGTTTTGAGCCGATACTCCACAGTAACAATGTATGAAGGTAACAGACTGTACTGTACTGTCAAAATAGTATTTCAAATTGTACTAAGTTTCAACAGACTGTACTGTACTGTCATAGCATTGGGGAATTGTGTATCAGGTTGACAGACTGTACTGTACTGTCATAGCATTGGGGCATTGTGTATCAGGTTGACAGACTGTACTGTACTGCCATAGCATTGGGGAATTGTGCATCAGGTTGACAGACTGTACTGTACTGCCATAGCATTGGGGCATTGTGCATCAGGTTGACAGACTGTACTGTACTGCCATAGCATTGGGGCATTGTGCATCAGGTTGACAGACTGTACTGTACTGCCATAGCATTGGGGCATTGTGTATCAGGTTGACAGACTGTACTGTATCCAGACTGTACTGTACTGCCATAGCATTGGGGCATCAGGTTGACAGACTGTACTGTACTGCCATAGCATTGGGGCATTGTGCATCAGGTTGACAGACTGTACTGTACTGCCACTGTACTGTACTGCCATAGCATTGGGCACATCAGGTTGCCATAGCATTGCCATAGCATTGGGGAATTGTGCATCAGGTTGACAGACTGTACTGTACTGCATAGCATTGCATTGTGCATCAGGTTGACAGACTGTACTGTACTGCCATAGCATTGGGGCATTGTGCATCAGGTTGACAGACTGTACTGTACTGCCATAGCATTGGGGCATTGTGCATCAGGTTGACAGACTGTACTGTACTGCCATAGCATTGGGGCATTGTGCATCAGGTTGACAGACTGTACTGTACTGTCATAGCATTGGGGCATTGTGCATCAGGTTGACAGACTGTACTGTACTGCCATAGCATTGGGGCATGTGCATCAGGTTGACAGAGCATCAGCATTTGACAGACTGTACTGTACTGCCATAGCATTGGGGCATTGTGTATCAGGTTGACAGACTGTACTGTACTGCCATAGCATTGGGCATCAGGTTGACAGACTGTACTGTACTGCCATAGCATTGGGCATCAGGTTGACAGACTGTACTGTACTGCCATAGCATTGGGGCATCAGGTTGACAGAGACTGTACTGTGTGCATCAGGTTGACAGACTGTACTGTACTGCCACTGTACTGCCATAGCATTGGGGCATTGGGCATCAGGTTGACAGACTGTACTGTACTGACCACTGTACTGTACTAGCATTGGGGCATTGTGTATCAGGTTGACAGACTGTACTGTACTGCCATAGCATTGGGGAATTGTGTATCAGGTTGACAGACTGTACTGTACTGCCATAGCATTGGGCATCAGGTTGACAGACTGTACTGTACTGCCATAGCATTGGGGCATTGTGCATCAGGTTGACAGACTGTACTGTACTGCCATAGCATTGGGGCATTGTGTATCAGGTTGACAGACTGTACTGTACTGCCATAGCATTGGGGCATTGTGCATCAGGTTGACAGACTGTACTGTACTGCCATAGCATTGGGGCATTGAGCATCAGGTTGACTGTACTGTACTGACATTGGGGCACTGTACAGGTTGACAGCCATAGCATTGGGGCATTGTGCATCAGGTTGACAGAGGTTGACAGACTGTACTGTACTGCCATAGCATTGGGGCATTGTGCATCAGGTTGACAGACTGTACTGTACTGCCATAGCATTGGGCATCATCAGGTTGACAGACTGTACTGTACTGCCATAGCATTGGGCATCAGGTTGACAGACTGTACTGTACTGCCATAGCATTGGGGAATTGTGTATCAGGTTGACAGACTGTACTGTACTGCCATAGCATTTGGGCATTGGTATCAGGTTGACAGACTGTACTACTGTACTGCCATAGGTTGACATTGTACTGCCATAGCATCAGGTTGACAGACTGTACTGTACTGCCATAGCATTGGGGCATTGTGCATCAGGTTGACAGACTGTACTGTACTGCCATAGCATTGGGGCATTGTGCATCAGGTTGACAGACTGTACTGTACTGCCATAGCATTGGGCATCAGGTTGACAGACTGTACTGTACTGCCATAGCATTGGGGCATTCTGTATCAGGTTGACAGACTGTACTGTACTGCCATAGCATTGGGGCATTGTGCATCAGGTTGACAGTACTGTACTGAATTGGGGCAGACTCAGGTTGACAGACTGTACTGTACTGTCATAGCATTGGGGCATCATGTATCAGGTTGACAGACTGTACTGTACTGCCATAGCATTGGGGCATTGTGTATAAGGTTGACAGACTGTACTGTACCATCACTATAGGATTGGAAATGTATCAAGTTGAGACAGACTGTACTACATTATCAGGGAATAGGTTCATCAGTGCTCAGCTGACAATACTTTAATCAGTAGCTTAAGTGCTTGCTATATTCTAAGGGGTTTTACTGAATAACCTAAGTGCTTGCTATATTCTAAGGGGTGTTACTGAATAACCTAAGTGCTTGCTATATTCTAAGGGGTTTTACTGAATAACCTAAGTGCTTGCTATATTCTAAGGGGTTTTACTGAATAACCTAAGTGCTTGCTATAATCTAAGTGCTTGCTATATTCTAAGGGGTTTTACTGAATAACCTAAGTGCTTGCTATACTCTAAGCAATTTTGTTGAATATTCTTAGTGCTTGCAATAAGTATGTGTTCATGTACATGTTCTTGTTGGCGACAGGCACAATGCAGGGCTGATGGTGGGATGGTCCAATGATGACCGCCAGAAAGCTGATCAGGAAAATACTAGACATGTTTGCGAAATCCATGAAAAACATCTGTTTTATGTTTTACCAAACAAAAAAGAAACTTCACATGTATTTGTCCCAAACATACCAATATACAACAAAGTGTTGCTGGTGGACATATCTGGTTTATGGACGCAGTGAGGAATCACTCAACAGGATTGGGCATTAATGTGTGCTTCGTGCAAAGGGACAAGCCATATATATTGGAGCTTCTTTAGTACCATGTATGCCCCTTTCGAATAAATCCACTTTCAAAATAATTCTAAGTGTGAAGTTTCTTTTTTTGTTCAGTATTTATGTTTTCTAAATTTTGGAAATAATTCCTTTGGCTTCAATCCCACCATATTTTGATGAGGAGCATCATTGGTTCGGAGGATCCAAATGAACTATTCCCAACTTACAGCTTTCGATAAATGCAGCTGTTTGATCACTCTACCACCTGCTGCTGTGTTATGTAGATGTGTCGTGTAGATGTGTAAAGTAAAGACTGCCTACCTTCTCTGCCGACTTCAGTTTCCAGTCTGTTCTCAGTCCACAATGAATCACACAAAATTTGTCCACAATGTGTCCACAATTTGTCCAATCCAAATGAATCTTGAGTTCCTGGTGAAAGTTCATACACTATCTTCAAATCACAAGAAAGAATCTTTCCCAATGAAACTGACACTCTTTCCATGACCTCAGTGCGGGGCTTGCTTGTGTCATCTGCCCAACAGTGGTACGAAACAGCAACCCAAGCACCTGAAAAATGCAACAAGCTATGGTTATTGGTTATGCAGATATGGTAAAGTTTTGTTTAGCTGTGCATCACAGTATAGGAAGGTTTGGAGCAAATAATGAATAAAGTGCTGTTTGACTTACAGAAAAAATGTTCATAAAAAATAAAATATATAGAAATGGAGCCCAGAAACTTTCTTCCTTTCAGCCCAAAACTGTGGTAATCGACTTGCCACATATTCTAGACTTGCATGGGCTTTCTTGGACATTTTTTTTTCAGGGTCTGTATGACTGTTTTACAGATGGAACATTTTCAAAGCACATTTTATGAACTTTATCAGATAGGTAAACAATAATAAACTATTACTGATTGAAACTTTATACATATATAGAGAGAAAAAAGCATACAAAAGTGTTAACAGCAAAGCTTTCAATGTTCCACTACTGAGATGGCCAAACTGATGTTAAGTACAAGGAGTGTCAAAGCAAATTATCCTGCATGTGGAACAAGTTTCGCTATCTAAGAATGTGCTATCTTCATAGGCAAGTAGAAAGTAATCATAAACATGTGTAAGTTTGTTTGTCACATCAGTCACAATGATAAACAACTGAAATATTATCAAAGGAGCATTTTCTTAACTTTGGTGGGGAGGTTGATTTTTCTGAGTGATTAAGTTAAATGTTAACTGACACACATGCCTGACAGAAAAATATGACTTTTTTGCAGATTTACATGTACAACTGGTATATTCATTTTTATAATACAAAGCACTGTACATCACAATGTATTAATTACCATTACACTATGAGGAAAGAATCTGATTGTGTTCAGGGTCTAAAACATAAGAAAACTTGACTTGTGTGGCTTGAAAACTGAAAGAGTAATTCTAAAAAATTATTACTGATCACATTGTGGGTGAAAAAAAGTCTTCAAAATGATTTTTTTTGTTTCAGAAGGTTTCAGTTGGTTCCAGGTTGGGAGATCCATAGACCTGTATGTAATTTCCCAGCAGACATGTAATTGGTGTCCTTAGTTGTATACTAAGCCTTAAGGACACCAATTACATTTCTGCTGGGAAATTACATCAACTGATCTCAAACACCCTACCAGGATGAAGATGTGCTAAACATGATTAATCTTTTTTAATATCTCAATCAATTTTAAATAGGTTTCTTTCAATCGACCGACATCCAAATTCATTCATTCAGATTATCTCTTTAAGAATGTATCAAGAAACTGTTTTGTCAAGTCGAAAATCACTATCACAAAATGACAAACCACCATTGTCAAAAAGGAAAGAGAATTTTAATAACAGGTGTATGGGAAATATTCACATCCATGTTGTTTTGTAATATCAGGGATTTAGACTTATTTTATATATTTAGATACCTATTTTTATCACATGTGAAGAGGCTACTTTTGATTTTTGTATTATAGTATCAAACCATTCATGAGCATACATTTAGAATTATATCATATAGTCGAAGTTATGTTGGTAACAATATTTTATGACTAAATGAATGAAAGGTTTGGAACTTGGTGGTTTCAGACCAAAGACCTTACACAAGCAGGTTAGATGAGGACAAGTAGTCTTAGTCATCCTACAGAGCCAGGACTACATTTCTTCATTCCTTTGACAAATTTTTTATGACATTTAAAATTGAACAAAAAATGTCTTCCTTCTACAAAATATGA